TCCTAATATAGATGTGTATCACTATGTGGTGGATATTAAACCAGAAAAACGGCCCCGCAGAGTCAACAGGGAGGTAATAGATGCAATGGTGCGGCACTTCAAGATGCAGATATTTGGTGACCGGCAACCTGGCTATGACGGCAAAAGAAATATGTACACGGCACACCCACTGCCAATTGGACGGGATAGGGTTGATATTGAGGTGACCCTTCCAGGCGAGTGTAAAGACCAAACCTTTAAAGTGTCTGTTCAGTGGATGTCGGTTATAAGCTTTCAGTTGCTTTTAGAAGCTTTGGCTGGGCACTTGAATGAAATCCCAAATGATTCAGTCCAAGCACTTGATATTATCACAAGGCACCTTCCCTCTATGAGGTACACCCCAGTGGGCTGTTCCTTTTTCTCTCCCCCTGAAGGTTACTACCACCCTCTGGGAGGGGGCAGGGAGATTTGGTTTGGCTTTCATCAGTCTGTGAAACCTGCTATGTGGAATATGATGCTCAATATTGATATATCTGCGACTGCTTTCTACCGGGCTCAGCCTGTCATTGAGTTCATGTGTGAGGTTTTAGACATTCAGAACATCAATGAACAGACCAGACCTCTAACAGACTCCCAACGTGTCAAATTTACCAAAGAAGTCAAAGGTCTGAAAGTTGAGGTGACCCACTGTGGGCAGGTGAAACGAAAATACCGAGTTTGTAATGTGACCAAACGATCAGCCAGTCATCAAACTTTTCCTTTGCATCTAGAAAATGGTCAAACTATAGACTGTACAGTAGCTCAATATTTTAAGCAAAAATACAGTCTTCAGTTGATATACCCCCATCTTCCGTGTCTCCAAGTGGGACAAGAACAAAAGCATACCTACTTACCAATTGAGGTCTGCAAAATTGTGGCAGGACAGCGATGTATAAAGAAGCTCACAGACAGTCAGACCTCCACAATGATCAAAGCCACAGCAAGAGCTGCTCCTGACAGACAGGAAGAAATCAGTAGACTAGTGAAGGGCAACAGCATAATGGGTGGACCTGATCCATACCTTAAAGAATTTGGCATTGTTGTACATGATGAAATGACAGAACTCACAGGCAGGGTACTTCCAGCACCAATGCTGCAATACGGAGGCCGGAATAAAGCAGTGGCCACACCCAACCAGGGTGTCTGGGACATGCGAGGAAAGCAGTTTTATGCTGGCATTGAAATTAAAGTTTGGGCAGTTGCTTGTTTTGTGCCTCAGAAACAATGTAGGGAAAATTTACTAAAGAATTTCACTGACCAGCTGCGTAGAATCTCTAAGGATGCAGGAATGCCCATCTATGGCCATCCATGTTTCTGCAAATATGCCCAAGGTGCAGATAGCGTGCAGCCCATGTTTCAACATCTGAAAACGACATATGCAGGCCTACAGCTAATAGTGGTTATCTTGCCTGGAAAGACACCAGTATATGCGGAGGTGAAACGTGTTGGCGATACCCTTCTAGGTATAGCCACACAATGTGTCCAGGTAAAAAATGTAGTGAAGACCTCACCTCAAACTCTTTCCAACCTTTGCCTGAAGATAAACGCAAAGCTTGGAGGAATTAACAATGTGCTTGTACCTCATCAGAGGCCCTCGGTATTCCAGCAGCCTGTCATCTTCCTGGGAGCCGATGTCACACACCCCCCAGCAGGGGATGGGAAGAAGCCCTCCATTGCTGCTGTGGTTGGCAGTATGGATGCCCACCCCAGCCGGTATTGTGCCACAGTTCGGTTGCAGACTTACCACCAGGAGATCCCCGAGGAGCTTCTCTACAGTCGAGAGGTCATTCAGGACCTTACTAACATGGTTCGGGAACTACTGATCCAGTTCTACAAATCCACCCGCTTCAAACCCACTCGGATCATCTATTACCGTGGAGGGGTATCTGAGGGACAAATGAGACTGGTAGCTTGGCCAGAACTAATAGCAATTCGAAAGGCATGTATTAGCTTGGAGGAAGATTACCGACCAGGAATAACATACATTATGGTGCAGAAAAGACATTACACAAGACTCTTCTGTGCAGATAAAACAGAAAGGGTGGGGAGAAGTGGCAATGTACCAGCAGGCACTACAGTGGATAGTACCATCACACATCCATGTGAGTTTGACTTTTACCTCTGTAGTCATACAGGAATTCAGGGAACCAGCCGTCCTTCACATTACCAGGTCTTGTGGGATGACAACTGCTTCACTGCAGATGAGCTCCAGCTACTGACTTACCAGCTGTGTCATACCTATGTGAGGTGCACACGCTCAGTCTCTATTCCAGCCCCTGCATATTATGCCCGGCTCGTAGCATTTAGGGCACGGTACCATCTGGTGGATAAAGATCATGACAGTGCAGAAGGCAGTCATGTGTCAGGACAGAGTGACAGCCGGGATCCTCAGGCCTTGGCTAAGGCTGTGCAGATCCACCATGATACCCAGCGCACGATGTATTTTGCCTGAGAGTCTCAGAAAAAGAACTCAACCAATTTGGTACCCCATGCAGCCTCAAAATGTTTCAAATGCATACCTGCTCTAGATAGAGCCACGTTGACTTCAGGTGATCTTCTACCTCCAGCTTGGAATAGTTGCGCTGAATCTATACTTTGCAGCACTGTCTAATTTATCAATAAAACTGAGTCATTTTTTGAAAGTAATAACTTTCTGATTTTGCCACTGATAATAAATTATCTTTTCTAATCCACTAGACTGAATTTTTACCTCAATGTTCAAAGGCTCATCAGCCTAAACTTTCTAAAAGGGCTTTACTGGCCAGGTGCGGTGGTTCATGCCTATAATCCTAGCTAGTATTCTGGGAGGCCCAGGTGGGTGGATTGCCTGAGCTCAGGAGTTTGAGACCACTCTGAGCAAAAGCGAGACCCCATCTCTACTAAAAAGGGAAACAACTGAGGCAAGAGGATCGCTTGAACCCAAGAGTTGGAGGTTGCTGTGAGCTATGACATCACGGCACTCTACCAAGGGTGGCAGCTTGAGACTCTTGACTCAGAAAAATAAAAATAAAAGGACTTGTCAAGAAAGGTTTCTACTGAATATTTGGCTAGCTGTGGTGTTCACTGCATCCCTCTAGTCTCATAAGAGAAGATGATTCCTTTTTACTATGTTCATTCAGTGGGGTGTATGCATAAGTGGGGGAGAAAAACCAAACAATCTACTTCAGTTCAGTGGAACTATTTGATTGTACACTGAACACTGAATTGTCGACTGTGGGTCCATAGACCTTTTCATGAACATTTCTGACTTTGCCACTGTAAATGCCTTTAAAAGTTTTACAGAGTTTTATTAGTTTTACTTATTTCTCTTACTATCTTGCGCCTGTGCACGTACAGGCTACCAGACAATTGCACTATATTCGGCTGCAGATCCAAACAGGCAGTTCTCTTATTTGGTTGACTTTTGTGAATGTCAGAATCAGGATGCTTCCTTATTGGAAAGGCTTTGCCAGTCCTTAAGGTTCATTGGGTGATGCCACAACTTGCAAAAACTTAGCAGCATTCAAAAAATGTTTTCCCTGGGAACCAAAGTTACTCACACAATTACTTACACTACAAATTTTCCCTTCCCTTTTAATCTAAAATGTACTTGGTGTGTTTTCCTTCCTTTTAGTAAACTAAAACTTGTTGGAGAAAAATAGAAATAGAACAAGTGAGGCAAGAGAATCACTTGAGCCCAAGAGTTGGAGGTTGCTGTGAGCTGTGACATCATGGCACTCTACCCAGGGTGGAACCTTGAGACTCTAACCCTACAAAATAAAAATAAAAGGACGTTACAAGAAATGTTTCTACTGAATATTTTGCTAGCTGTGGTGTTCGCCGCATGCCTCTAGTTGTTCATTCAGTGGGGTGTATGCATAAGTGGGGGAGAAAAACCAAACAATCTACTTCAGTTCAGTGGAACTGTTTAATTGTGTGGGTCCGCAGACATTTTCATGAAGATTTCTGACTTTGCCACTGTAAATGCCTTCAACAAACATTAATTTTTTTAAGTTTTACAGAGTTGTATTAGTTTTACTACTTTATCTTACTGATCTTTGCGGACTTGTGCCTGTGCAAGTACAGGCTGCCAGGCAATTGTAGTAGTATATTCGGCTGCAGATCCAAACAGGCAGTTCTCTTATTTGGTTGACTTTTGTGAATGCCAGAATCAGGATGCTTCCTTATTGGAAAGGCTTTGCCAGTCCTTAAGGTTCACTGGGTGATGCCACAACTTGCAAAAACTTAGCAGCATTCAAAAAATGTTTTCCCTGGGAACTAAAATTACTCACACACTTACTTACAGTACAAATTTTCCCTTCTTTTCCAATCTAAAATGTACTTGGCATGTTTTTCTTCCTTTTAGTAAACTAAAACTTGTTGGAGAAAAATAAAAATAGAAATAGAACAAGTGAGGCAAGAGGATCGCTTGAGCCCCGGAGTTGGAGGTTGCTGTGAGCTGTGACGTCACGGCACTCTACCCAGGGTGGCAGCTTGAGACTCTAACCCAAAAAATTAAACTAAAAATAAAATGACATTACAAGAAAGGTTTCTACTGAATATTTGGCTAGCTGTGGTGTTCACTGCATCCCTCTAGTCTCATAAGAGAAGATGATTCCTTTTTTCTATGTTCATTCAGTGGGGTGTATGCGTAAGTGGGGGAGAAAAACCAAACAATCTACTTCAGTTCAGTGGAACTATTTAATTGTGTGGGTCCGCAGACGTTTTCATGAAGATTTCTGACTTTGCCAATGTAAATGCCTTTAACAAGCATTAATTTTTTTTTTAGAACATCTTAAATTTTTAATCCTTTCTTTACAGGTTACCTAGACCACTTTTGATTAAGAAAACTGTGGAAAGTTAGTAACTGCCACAAGCAAATGCCAGGTGGTCGCACGTGTCAATTTTCACAGAGTCCTGCTTTGCGGGATGTCTGAATGCACTGCTCAGGGTCTCTGCTCACACTTGCTGGAATCAATCGTGGCAGATCTTTAGTCCACAGATCACTTTTCCCCATATTTCTTTGTAAACTCTTCAGCATTCTTACAGAATTTTTTACAGTCCTTAGAGTATTCTTCAGCTAGGTCAGCCTGTAGCGGGTGCTCAGGCTGGGGGTCATTCACCAGTGCTATGAGCGACTGGATTACTTGGTCAGTTTTGGTTGCTGGCTTCCAGTTTTCAGCACTAATTACTGGCAGACAGATCTGCCCCTTTTCATCGATGTTCAGGGGATAAATCTTTGTTTTACATGTGATCTTCGGTGGCTTGAATGGGTACTCTGCTGGAAAGTTGATTTCGATTCTGAAGGCCCCTTTATCATATGGAGGGTTGTCAGGAACAATAGGCCCTTGCTAGGTCAATAAATTAGCTTCATCAACCTGGATATTACGGAAGTTTTTCATTCCACATTTGCAGATTTCTTCAAGCTCCTTCATCAGCCTCCTGCTGGCCACCATCTTGGATCTCAAGCATTAATTTTTTTAAGTTTTACAGAGTTGTATTAGTTTTACTACTGTATCTTATTGATCTCTGTGGACTTGTGCCTGTGCAAGTACAGGCTGCCAGGCAATTGCACTATATTTGGCTGCAGATTCAAATAAGCAGTTCTCTTATTTGGTTGACTTTTGTGAATGTCAGAATCAGGATGCTTCCTTATTGGAATGGATTTGCCAGTCCTTAAGGTTCATTGGGTGATGCTGTAACTTGCAAAAACTTACCAGCATTCAAAAAAATTTTTCCCTGGGAACCAAAGTTACTCACACAATTACTTACGGTGCAAATTTTCCTTTCCCTTTCAATCTAAAATGTACTTGGTGTGTTTTCCTTTTATTAAATTAAAACTTGTTGGAAAAAAATTGAAATAGAAATAGAAAAAGTGAGGTAAGAGGATCGCTTGAGCCCAAGAGTTGGAGGTTGCTGTGAGCTATGACAGTACATCACTCTACTGAGGCAACAGCTTGAGACTCTATCATAAAAAAAAAAAAAAAGGTGGTGCCTGTGGCCCGGTGAATGGGCTGTCATAGCGCATAGTAACCTCAAACTCGGTAGACTCAGGCTATCTTCTTATCTCAGCCTCCTGACTACCTGGGAGGAAAGGTGCTAGTTTTTCTATTTTTAGAAGAGGCGGGGTCTCACTTTTCTCAGGCTGGTCTCCAGTGTCCACTGTACCCGTGAGGGAGACTCACCCATCACCCAGACAGCGTCCACTGTACCTGTGAGGGAGACTCCCTATATACCAGAGGTAGCGGGTTCAAACCCAACCCCAGCCACCAGAAACTGCAAAAAAAAAATTTAAATTAAATTAAATTAATAAAAACAAAACAGTCCTGGTGTGATGGGTCACGCTTATAATTCCAGCTCTCTGGGAGGCTGAGGCAGCTAGATCACCAGAGCCCAGGAGTTGGAGATCAGCCTGAGAAAAGTGAGACCCCGCCTCTTCTAAAAATAGAAAAACTAGCACATTTTGTCCCAGGTACTCAGGAGGCTGAGATAAGAAGATAGCCTGAGTCTACTGAGTTTGAGGTTACTATGAGCTATAACAGCCTGGCACTCAATCCCAGAGCAACTGAGTGAGATTCTGTCTCAAAAAAAAAAAAAAGCTGGTCACAATGGCTCACCTGTAATCCTAGCACTCTGGAAGGCCTAGGCAAGTGGATTGCCTGAGCTCAGGAATTCCAAACCAGTTCAGAGCCAGAGCAAGACCCTATCTCTAAAAATAGCCACGCATTGTGGCAGGTGCCTTTAGGCCCATCTATTCTGGAAGCTGAGTCAAGAGGATTGCTTAAGCCCAAGAGTCTGAGGTTGCTATGAGCTGGGACACCACTGCACTCTACCCAGAGCAACAGCTTGAGACTCTGTCTCAGAAAAAGAATAAAAAGAATAATAATTTGGTATCTTTCCTTCTAGTCTTTGTATCAAGGATTTTTAAGAATAATTATAATTATATAATTTTTGCAATTTCTCCCTTCATTAAAATGTTAGCATTTTCCCATTTTACAGAGTCTCATTATGTCACCCTGGGTAGAGTATTGTGGTGTCACAGCTCACAGCAACCTCAAACTCTTGGACTCAAGCGATTCTCCTGCCTCAGCCTCCCAAGTAGCTGGGACTACAGGCACCCATCACAACACCAGACCATTTTTTGTTGTAGTTGTTATTGTTGTTCGGCAGGCCTGGGCTGGATTCAAACCCGCCAGCTCTGGTGTATGTGGTTGGTGCCCTAGCCTGAGCTATATGTGCTGAGCCAAGAACACGACTTTTAATGGGTGTTTTGTAGTTCATTTGATGAACTGAACATGGATCACTTAATCTTAGTTCCTCTATTTCTAGATGTTTGGGTTCAATTTCTTTTTCACTTGTACTAACTATTTAAAATAACCCTGTAGTACATTCTTTCTGTTAAATGATACCTTTTTGAAATGTAAAGAGCTACTCCCAGATCGATCTAGCTTTATACATTTGAGTTCTCATTTATTGAAGTTTGCATAAGGTAATTTTTTTTTGAAGTTTGGGAATTGTTTAAAGTCTTCCTACAAATGTATGTCAAAAAAACAACACCCCCAAGCTATTGTTCTAAACATCTTTGTGGTTTTTTTTCCCCCAAAGCATTTCAACACCATATGTATACACGTAAGTACCTAGATTCGGTGGAAGGAATGATTTAACTCCCTTCCCATGCAACATGCCCTTCTGCAGTTAAAAAAATACCCCTCCCTTCCCACTCATTCCTTCCCACTGAGGCGAAAGGGGAAACTTTGGGAGAGAATGGGCGACCACTAGAATAGCAACTAGGGTTGGGGTGCAGGGAGAGAAAGGAACTGAGTGAGCACTGGGGTAGTCAAGGGAAATTAAATTAAACATGGTTTACCTGCCCCCAAGGGTTTATGGCCTAACCTGCCAAAATGGAATCAAACATTTGTTGATAGATCAAATACCACCCAAATAGGGTGGGGCCCACCTAAAAAAAATCAAGTCCCTCCCCTCCCCCACCAGATGTCCCACCTAAGAAAGGTAAATGAGTCAACCCCCTGCCCTACCCCACTGGATGTCCCACCTGGGAAAGGTAAACCGGCCAACCCCTACCCTTCTGACAGATGTCCAACCCAGTGAAGGGAATGTCCCGACCCCCACTTTCCTAATCTTTAAAATCCTGCTTCATCTTGACCCATGTGCTGACTTCCTTCTCGAACTCAGCTCACCCTCACCAGGGTGGAATAAAGGCCGTGGTTGCCCACACAGAGCCTGGATCCTGTTTTCCTTTCGTCTCGTGTACTCCAGCTCCCACAAGACGAAGGGAAACGAGGGAACCCCTCCGACCCCTGCCTGAGATTTATCCATTTATTGGTGAGGAGAGCTTTTTCATTTAGAACTCCTTTTCTAAACTTTTTTTAACTCCTCTTCCCATCCTCTACTCTTAACTTCCTCTTTCCCTCTCGCTCCATCTCTGGACCTCTTACTGCCTTTTCTTCCATTTTTCTTCTGGCTGGTTTCACACATGGAGACCACTCCCTGATTCCAGCCCCAGACTTTCTTCTTTCTCCTCCTCCATTTTTTTCTGGCTGGTTTCACACGTGGAGGCCTCACTTCCCTGATCTCTGATTTCAGGCTCGGCCACCTCAGCAAGCCAGACTCGCCTGCCTGCCCAGTGCCTCATGCTTGGGGATGGCCCCTTGTAGGCCTGGGCTTCAGCTGGTTCCCCAGCCTCACCTCTCTAGTGCCCTACTGCGGGCCTAGACCCCTCCGGCTGGTTAAGGTCACATGGAGAGGCCAAAAGTCATATGAGGAGAGTCCAGGTAATGTCTTGACAAGCCAGGATTGTCATTCCATCGCCCTACTGTGGGCCACACCGTTTTCGGTAGATCTGAGAGCTAAGCTCACCTGTCTCGTGCTCTCCCGGAAGACTGGATCGAGGCTCACCTGCCTGCACAGTGCCTTGTGTTTGGAGACGCCCTCTCGAACGCCTGGACTCCAGCTGGTTCTCCAGCCTCCACCTCTGGTGCCCTACTTTGGCCTAGTTCCAGCCTGTCTCACACGTGCAGGCCCACCTCCCTGATTCCAGCTCTGCACTGTCTTCTTCCTCCCTCTACATTCTCCCTTTAATCTCACTTGTTTTCCTACCTCCACTTTTCAATATGGGGACCACTCAGTCCCAGATTCCCTCTTCTTGTTCACTTCTAAGCTGCCTTTTGACTAATCTCAAACCTTTGAAACGCTATCCTGACCTCACGCCTAAACACCTCATTTTTTTTTCTGTCATACTGCTTGGCCTACATACAAGCTTGATGGTGGCTTGCAGTGGCCTCAGCACGGCACCTTCGATCTCTCAATTCTCACTGATCTCAATAATTACTGTCAAAAATTAGGCAACTGGTCGGAGATCCCTTATATCCAGGCATTTCTCGTACTCTGAAACATTCCTTCCCCCTGTTCGTCCTGTGAACTCTCCCAGGTTCTCCTGATACCCTTCTACAGCCCCTACTGGTCCTCTCCAACCCCTCTCCTACAATCCCTCAATTCTAGATCAGAACACCTGGTAAGTTCTCTGTGTGGGATACCTCTCTCCCTTCTATAGCTTTGCACCATACACCCATTCTCATTGCTCTCCAACCCCAACAGTCATACCCTTCCCTTAAACCAGGCGTCCTCAAACTATGGCCTGTGGGCCACATGCGGCCTGCCAAGGACATTTATCCAGCCTGCCGGGTGTTTTTGCCACCGCTGCCTGTCTTGCTTAGCAGCTGACTCCTCCCAGGGCCTACAGTCCAGCCCTCCAGCGGTCTGAGGAACAGTGAACTGGGCCCCTGTTTAAAAAGTTTGAGGACTCCTGCTCCTGTACCCTCCTATCTACTATTCCTTCCAACACCTCCCACTACACAGGTTTAGATCTCAAAGATGCCTTCTTTACCATCCCCATCCACGAGCTCTCCAACCCCTTCTTGCCTTCACCTGGACAGACCCTGATTCTTCCACCAGCCAACAGCTGACCTGGACAGTCCTTCCACACAGATTTAGAGAAAGCCCTCATTACTTCGGACAGGCACTTCAGGCCGACCTCCAGCAGTTAACTTTACCGGGGAATTCCACAGTTCTTCAGTATATAGATGATCTTTTATGCAGCCCCCTCCCCCACTGTCTCCTGGCAAGACAGCATTCACTTACTCTCCTTTCCTTGCTAGCAAAGGAGAGTGTCCCCTTCCAAAGCCCAATTAACCTCTTTCTCTGTCTGATACCTTGGCATTCTCTTACAGGGAAAAGAAAAACTCATTTCCCCAATCAGGTTCAGGCTATCTCCTCCTTACCCCTTCCCCCTCCAAAAAAATGACCTTCTCTCTTTCCTAGGACTTGTTAGGGTATTTAAGGGCATGGATTCCCAATTTTGCAGCCTCGGCTAAATCTCTATACACCGCCACTAAGGGTTCCCCAGGTGACCTTTTAGCACACCGCACCAGCTTGGTCA